ATATCTCACCTAACATTTCACGTATCTTGTCAGAGGAAATCTCTGGAAAAAATTTTTAACTAGAAATGCGTGATACTCAAGTTTAAATATAGTATAGCATTTGAATAGATTTTACAGTAATAAAAATGTATTTTTGAAGCTAGTTACTTTATAAAAAATCACAATAAAGTGATAAAGATTTTTTTTAGTTGTGTTACACATATGTAAAGTTGACAGAACAATACGTATGAAAAAAGATGCCAAAGTATTTTATCATAATATTAAATTCCTTGTCCAAAAAAATGATATCAGGTGTAGAAAATGTTATTCCAAACTCAGGTAGAAAAATTTTTGTCACAGTAAAAATAAAGAAGTAAAAGAATATGTATGAAGTCTACAGCTACTTTTCCACATGATTTATCGAACCTAATAAAAAAACAAATAACCTCATGAGAGAACAAACTTATTGCAAGCTGTATCAACCATTTCCTTAAAACAGATAAACAGACGCAACATAAACATCAAGATAATCAAGATACTCGATATAAAAATTAACTGAAAACTTCTTTTACTATTCTGCGAATAAACCTTAAGCTAATGAAATAAAAATGATTACTTTGCTTTCCGAAGGACTCGTTCCCTCCAACACTTATTGTTTTTTGTGTGGACAAAGAAATAACACAGACATACCAATTAAATCCCCTCTTTAAGCTTTCGCAAAAAGATGATTATTTATATGATAAGGAAATCAGTATTCTTCTTAACATTTATTAAAAAACCGATTTCGTGAAAATAAGCCTATGACGATCATGTACTCGAATGAATTTAATATTGAAATGAGTGATGTAAAAAAGTTCGTCAATAAACCAACAAACTCAACAACCGTGTTCCTAAAACCACAAAAAAAATCGTAGAAAGCTCAGTAGAATCCATTTTTGAGTGATTTCAAAAACAAGTGTATTCATAAAACTTTGGAACTGCTACTAGTACCAGAAAGTCTGATTTACAGCATCAAGACGAAGCTGTGAAACTGTTGTGCAACATTGAAGATTTTTTAATCATTATTTATGATAAAACCTTCTTAAGAAACCAAATAAAAGTTTAAATAATATTGACTAAAGAAACTTTTATTCTAGATGAAACAAAGATTTATTATGTGAAACCTTCAATATTTGTGCTACAAATGTTTACATCATCGATCTTGCTGGACCATTCCAAGTAACCGTCAATGATATGAGGATTCTGAACTGTACATTACAAGTTAAAAATGGACTAATCAGTATTTTAAGATAAGATATTTTATTTTAGATTTAATATTTTGATACGTTAAAAATTTTCTAGAAGAGAAAAGCTTTACAGTTCTTATGCTCGCATTAAAAGGAAAACGTAAACAATGTTTCACAGAAAAATTCAATGCATCAAGATACGTTACCGAACTTCGTTGAATCCTATAATCTTTATATTGCATAATAGGGGTGAATATGCAAGCTCTCACACTGTTAATTTGAAAATCAAGCTATATTTTCTATACTGGAACACAATGTGAAATCACTTGTTATATTTATAATTTAACTCGAAAACTACTTAATTCTGATCATTCCAATTGATAACTTGCAATCCTAATATTAAGAAAATAGAATCGCGCAAGATTGTAAAAAATTATTCAGCTACGAAAGTTGAAAATAACCCTAAAAAATTAGTATCATTAAAAAAATTTTCATCGGCTGATCTTTTGAATTCTTCAGAACTAAGAGAATTAACCCTCAGCTTTATTGGTACATACTAACTGCAGAATTTTATGACATACCTAGGAGAAAAGCTTGAAAATGAAGAATCTATTTAAACAAGTTTTGTGAAATATAATTATTATTAGATTTCAAGTAAAATCAAGGCACCTTAAAAACAGAATGCATGAGAGTAAAATTCGTCATATTTCTAATGGTCAAGGGATAGATGCTATCAAAAAGCACTCTTGCAATTGTGCTAATGGCCGACGAACAATTGCTACGTTGCAGCGCTATTGTACTACTTATATCATGTAAGTTCTTATCTGATGTAATTCGACCTTTTTACGTGACCATAAACCTTTTTGATATTGAAAATGTATGTCTTGTAATAGACAAAGATAGTGACAAAGACTAATGATGTCTAGTAGAAAAACAGGTAGGCGTTAAACCAATTGCTAAAACGTTACGTTTACTAGTTCGTTGAAAATATTGTTAACAAAAGAAATTTAATAATTTTTTTCAGCTCAGAAACAGATTTATTAAATGATTTGACTACTCTTAAAAAATTCAATCGCTGTTAAACGAAAAGCTTACGTCTTAGAAGTGTTCACGTGGTTACGGAAGAAGATTGTAACTCGTCATTCATAAAATCTTAATAATGCTGTAAAAGTTTATAAAAAATAAGTGAGGACTGACTAAAACATAGCTTATGTTAGTTTAACCACAATTTTCAGTGCCACTAACCTTCACAAAAATTTTTTATAAATACTATTTTTATGTAATTTTTTTCTGTTCTACGTGATGCAACAATAATGAGCTATTTATAGGTTTTTTTGCATTTTAAACACGGCCCAATGATGTTGGCCATTTAAAAATTGGTCATTGTCAAAATCACATTTAAAAATTGAAATTATTTTTCTTGAAGTTATGTTGACCATCGATTTTTTTCTAAAAAATTCAACTAGTAGGCAATTACCTATATAGTATGCTTTCAAGTTTTTTTAAGTAGATATAGCAATTAGCAAGCGAGACAAAAAAGTAGTTCTTGTCGGATAAGTGCCATTGTCTCCAAGGCTATTTTGCGGCCTGAGGGACCTGCGAAGCAGATCCTAAGGAACGTGAGGTAACACGGTACCATGACACTTATGAGGCAAGTTCTATTTTTCTTGCAGAGGGCACACCAGCCTCTTTATAACGCCCGAGGCAGGAAAACTTTTTTTTTTTTCTTGCCATGAGCACTAAGTGCAGCTGCTGCTTTGCGCCCTCAGGCTACACTTTGCGCCCTTGTTATCACTTTGAGCCCTTCGACAGAATGGTAGTTGTCTTTGGATAAGTGCCATCGTCTCTGGGGCTATTTTGCAACCCAAGATACCTGCAAAGCAGGATTCAAGGGACGTAAGGTAACCACGGAGTGATGGCGCTTACGTGGCAAATCCTATTTCTCCTACTGAGGGTGCACCAGCCTCTCAAACCATCTGAAGTGGGAAAAAGTTTCTTTTCACTCTCTCGTTCAACGTTAAGGTTTTGCCCTAGGGCCTTGAGTGATTTAGTAGACACAAAATTGCACTCTGCGTTCTCGGTAAGAAAAACATTATACACGACTCAAGCACCAACATACAACAACTACGCTCTTTGGGCGCTTATGTTTATACTTTGTGTCGTAGTGGTTTAATGTACTATTTTGTGCTTCTGGAGCTCCAAAAAATTTAGGCCTTAGGAATCGATTAGTTTTTTTAAAAATTATTTTATTTTTTATTTTATAGCTATTTGAGGTTCCCATACAGGTCCTATTTAGCTCTGCATTGCTACGTTCCTGTGTATACTTATGCACTATCGTCATTGGCATCGTAAGAAACCGCCTCAGATTTAATATGATCAATCACTTACACAGCAATAAGGACCTGTATTTTACATGGCTTTCGACCCATCGAACCACGGTTGGAAATACGCACATAAGCAATTGGTTTTTCAGAGGTGCGAGCCAAGTGTCTATTTATTATAATTTGAAATTTTTTTTACAGTAGCGTATAGAGTACAGAGCAATTTGGTTTATTAATTAACATGTTAGGGAAAACTATTACTAAGTTGATACCTGTTTTCGAATAATTTGACTACACTTGTTTTAACCGACTACAAGTATTGTATGTTAGTTAAAATTTAAGATTCAACTAATTACACAGTTAAAAATTGGATCAGAAAATTATTAAATGATTTCCAAATTAATGGCACGTATTTAGTGATATGGCAAGCTATAGTAACTTAAAACAATATTTCATTATAATACAAGTTGATTATTTTAAAAACGTGAAGCTATGTCATTATCTTCTTTTCACATGTTTATATTTTTTTTCAAAAGTCTTTAAGATAATGTTAAGTCGAACAAATAATAATAGTTATTTATCTCAAAACGAAAAAAGGATCTTTTTTAGAATTATTGAAAAAAATTAGTTGTTTCAGGCAAGCCAACTGAGAACAGTTTGTACTTCAAAATAAATTTTTTCTGAATGTCAAGCATAAGATGAAACAACAACCAACCTTTACGATCAAAATCACATTTGCTGCTAAAAAAATTATTTTAATGTCTTCCACGTAAAAAGCTTTTGCACATCTAGAAACATGCAAATGTGAGCAAGTGGAAACTGTACAATTTTGTCTTTTGAGAATAAAGTAATATTTTATTTAAGATAAAGTGTTACTTTTTAAAATTGTACCTCGCTAACATTTTTCAACTTCCGTTTCTTTAACGTTATTAAATAATTAAATAAATAGTTGAAGGATATTCATTTAATTTCGCCAGGATAATGTTTTTATGTTATATTTCTACATCACTAATACTTGATTTCAGTGCTTTGCATAGTGAATCGTGAATTATCTATAACAACTATGTTTCGATAACTAACTGCCATTATTAAAATTTTGTGAAAGGACATAAGGGTAATAAGGCCTTACAAGACTTAAAATAGATTTTAAAAATTTTCCGTTTAAAAAAATTTAAAAATATTACACATAAGGTGCACGTTAAAATTAGTTATTTATTTTTAAATTCAAATTAACTTCATCATCTGGTACGTTTTTAATTTTATATATTTTTAAGCCTCACCACGCAACAGAACTAATGATACATAAAAATCCGCTGAACTTTTACACGAATAATAAGAATTTTAATAAGGGCTTGTCATGATTAAGAAAGTAATAAAATTAGATGTATGGGTATAATAAAGAATTAACAACCGATTGTGAAACGCGTGAGCAATCACACTAATAAAAGAAGATAATTGCTATGCTTTTGCTTACTCGATGACTCCTAGATGCTTTCGGGTCCAAGTAGGTTCGTAGTTTTGTCAAATAGTGAGATGGTGAATCTTTAGCCTGAACCATTTCCTGAAACGAATAGAGAAACGTTCAAAACACATACAAAGATGCAATTTATATTTTAGTTCATTTTTAAGTATTAATAATATTTTAATGATGTTTTTAATACTTAACTATAATCATTCTATTTATGTAAAAAACTGAGCTTAAGCTAAAAATACAATAGTATGACAATGAAATTAATAATTTTTTGATAAGAATTCAATTTTCTCGTGCTAACACTGGGCTTGTTTATATATTTATTATTTTTTTTTCTTTAACAGATGTAGGGGT